ATACTGCCAAATTGAAATTTAGAGGGTGGAGTACGAAGTCCTGATGCTATTGTTCGCGTATGTAATATAACTCTCACTAAGGATTTAAAATTTAATAGCAAAAAACTATGACAAATATCAATTGGGTTCTCTTTAGTTAATACGACTTTATTGTTTATTTCTTGTATAATTTTTTCATTTTTTTTTACGGGTACTTATTGGAACACATCGCGGAATCTAATTTTTACTTTCCTGTACCAAGGTGTTTTATTTTGTTAATTATTGATTAATTTAAGGGGTTAACAGTAATAAACAAAGAACAACACACATTTAATTAATTTATTGAAATTTAGCTAACCATACAATGCTCTTTCGAGTGTTGCCAAGTACTAGTGATTATTGATTAGTGATTTTAGGAAATATTCGAATTTTTATGTATTTAATTAATTTATAGTCCGTATAAAACTTGTTGGATTGCAAGTGCCAGGCTTAGAACTCAAGTTGATTAATTTTTTTAGATCTAGTTCTATTTTATTTATTTTACATCGTCTAAATATTTTTATTTGGCCTAAAATGCTCTCTGCAGTGAATTTTATTGTATATTCGAAAACCTGGATACAAATATTTTATAATCTCAATGCATAACGCAAGATTTGTGTTATTAATTTATATATTAAATATTGAAAAAAATACAAGAGTTTTTGTATTTATTGAAGTTATAAAAAAAATGAAAGTTACAACGAAAGTATTTTATTCAGAATAATTACACTTTATTTAAGAAATTAAAATTTTAATAAATCGAAAATTGAAAATAAAACGCGTGCTGTTCACTTGGGACTTGAAATGCAAGAGAGAGAATCAAAAAACCCAGTTCAGTCTGGAAGCTAAAAAACTGTATAAAATTAAAGTTGTTGTTTTTTTAAGATTACCGTATGTAATGTGCAAGGTTGACGAAAGTCAACATTGGGTTGCATATTGACAATAAAAATGAGCAGCACGCGTTTTATTTTAACTACTTTAAACAAAAAATGCAATATAAAATATAAACATTCAACACCGGCCGCGTTGAAGCACGATCATGTGTTCAATTTTCTGGCAGCATCGCTAATTTGTGAACTGGACGCCTCAGAATTCCGTTGCTGGTATTGACGTCAACGACCCTGACCTTATTGTCGCGACCTGTAATTACGGCTTCCACCCTTCCGAGCTTCCACCGGTGAGAGGGAAGGTTGTCTTCTTGGACGACGACTAGTCGGCCGACTGCGAGATTCGGCTGCTCGAACACCCACTTGTTCTTGGGCTGCAGCTGTAGGATGTAATCTTTCGACCAGGCCTGCCAAAACCTCCGTTTGAGCTCGCATAACAGACGCCAACGTTTCAAAGTGGTCAATTTGTTGTCGGAGACGCCTTGTGCGGATTCTTGCGGCAGCGTGTGGAGAGTACCTCCTATCAACAGGTGTGCTGGTGTTAGCGCCTCTTTGTCGTTCGGGTCTTGACTCAATGGACTGAGTGGCCGAGAATTTAGCAGGGCTTCTACCTCTACGAGCACTGTTTGCAGTTCTTCGCTGGTAAGAAGCGCACTGTTGGTTGTTCGTTGTATGTGGTGTTTTGCCGACTTTACCGCCGCTTCCCATAATCCTCCGAAATGAGGTGCCCTGGGTGGTATGAAGACAAACTCTATGCCCCTTTGTGCAGCATAGTATGCCAGATCGTCCTTGTGCTCTCGAAACGCCTCTATCAGCTCTCTCAGCTTGCGATCGGCACCTACAAAATTTGTCGCATTGTCGCAATAGATTTTTTCTGGGAGTCCTCGTCTTCCGGCAAACCTTTTAAGACAAAAAATAAAACAGTTAGTTGTCAGATCTGTTACAAGTTCTAAATGTATAGCCTTTGACGTGAAACAAACAAACACTGCGATATACATTTTAACTGGTGGTCGACCACGAATTTTCAAAGTAGTGTATACAGGCCCACAAAAATCGACACCGCTAATTAAAAAGGGTCGTAGTGCCTTTAACCGATCTGCAGGCAAGTTTCCCATTACTTGGGTCAACAGCTTAGGTTTGTATCGAAAACAATGTATGCATGCTCTTACGGTTTTACTGCATGCCTTGCTTGAATTTATGACCCAAATTTTTTCACGAAGCAGCACTTCTAAGGCTTTTGGACCAGCATGACAATTGGTTGTATGGAGAAATCGTAAATAAATCTCGACAAAATGCAATTTTATAGGTAACAGCAAGGGAAATTTTGAATCATAAGACAGTGGTGCGTTTAGTAGACGACCTCCTACACGAAGCAAATTGCATGTTCGAGAACCATCTTGGACTGTATGAATGAATGGAGTTAGTTTTTGAATGCTGACTGGTAATTTATGCGACTTCTTCATTTTTTCGATTTCTTCCTTGAATTCGTGATTTTGAATAAATTCAACGATTTTCAAGAATGCCCAATTAAGCTCCTTTGATGTCGGAATAAGAGCGTTGGCTCTCTCATTTTTCTTAGTGATAAAACGTAGAATGTACGCGAAAATTCTCAGCAGTCTTGGGTAAGATGATTGGCTACAGATTAGTTTTGAAATGACATTAGGTTCAATTTCAACTGCTAAAAGTCCGACCTTGACCTTTCGTTTCTCCAAACTTTTCTCATCTATTGATAGTGGAAAATGACTATTTTTTGGCCAGTTAATGGCATCTTGAAGCAAATATGATGGGCCACGAAACCAAATTGAGTGAATCAACTCATCTACATCACATCCTCTGGAGACTAAGTCTGCAGGATTTAGCTTTGATGGAACGTGTCTCCAAAGAACTTCGCTCGTCCATTCTTGGATCTCTGCAACTCTGTTTGCTACAAATGTCGCTAAAGTAGATGGGTGAGTTTTAATCCAATGAAGTGTAATTTCAGAGTCCGTCCAAAAATAAACATCCCCGATTTCGCAAGTAATCAACGGCTGAATTCGAGACCATAGTTTAGCCAATAAATGAGCGGCACACAGCTCTAATCTGGGTAATGATTTTGTGCTTAAAGGAGCAACCTTAGATTTGGCAGTTAACAATTCAGAATGAATCCCATTCGAATCATGAATTCGGACGTAGATGCAACAGCCGTACGCTCTCATTGACGCATCGGCGAAACCGTGAATATCGCATTTTATATTTGAATGAATATGAACATACCGCGGAATGGAAATAGAGTCCATCTGAGTCAGGTTGCTTTTAAATGCTTGCCAGCTAGAATCGAGATGCATAGGAATTGACTCATCCCAGTCAAGCTTCTGAAGCCAAAGTTCTTGCAATAAAATTTTTGCCTTAGTCACTATTGGGCATACTAGTCCGAGGGGATCGAAGAGTCGAGCTGATACTGATAGTATGTTTCTTTTTGTTGCTCGCAAGTCATGAAACTTTTCGTCTACATGGAACTTAAGCGTATCATTCTGGGGAATCCAGTGTATACCTAGCGCCTTTGTGGAATCAGTATTATTAACATTTAGAAAGAAGTCTGACGAATCATACGTTTTATGGTTTGAAAACCATTTCGCTAATTTAAGTCCAGCCGCATCAAGAATTTCAGTACATTGGGTACGAATTGTTTCCAGTTCCTTCAGACTGTCAGCACCAGTCAATAGGTCATCGACATAGAAGTCATGTCGGATAACCCTTGCTCCAACTGAATGAGAATTCTTGTACAGGTCACTTAAGTAGTTTAGGCAACGTGTTGCCAAGAAAGGAGCAGATAAAGTACCATATGTCACTGTGTTCAGTTTATAAACGCTAATCTGATCCGTAGGTTTTTCCCTCCAGAGAATAAGCTGAAAATTGCGATCTGCCTCGTCAACTTCGATTTGACGGTACATTTTTGTAATGTCAGCAGTCATCGCGTATTTGTGCATACGAAAGCGAAGTAAGATTGAATACAATTCTTCTTGTACCGTTGGACCAACCATTAAAATGTCGTTCAACGACACTTGTGAAGATGTTCGGCATGAAGCATCGAACACGACGCGAAGTTTTGTCGAGGTACTCTGAGGTCGCAACACACACTGATGCGGTATATAGTAATGAGGTGTCGAAGAAAAGTTGTCAGTAGTTAATGTCATGTGACCTAAGTCACGATACTCTGCCATAAACACCATATACAGCTTCTGAAGCATACAGTCTTTCGACAACCTGCGTTCCAGTGAGAGAAAACGATTTTTTGCTGTTTCATATGACTGACCTAGAAGGTTGGAGTTGGACTTGAAAGGAAGCTGCACCTTAAGCCTCCCTGAAGGTAAGCGTAAAATTGTGTTGAGAAACTTGGTCTCACAGTGTTGTTGTTCTATTGTGTATTTTTTGACAGTGAGCTCCTTGGGAATTTCTTCCAATTCCCAGAATTTTTTCACAAGAGAGTTTAAGCAGAAATCACCTGTTGACTCTGCTTCTTGAAGGCGTATTAAATTGCATATCTTAGATACATTACTTGGGACATCTTTATATTTTCCTGATACAATCCATCCAAGTAAAGTTTTTTGGAGAACTGGAAGATTAGTACCTTGTTTTATTTGTCCAATCGACAACAGTTCGAAAAAGCTTTCGGCACCAAGTAGAAGATCTATCTTTTGCGGTTTGTGAAAGTGCGGATCAGCAAGTGAAAGATTAGAAGGAACATTCCAATTACTCATTGACACAAATTTGTCGGGTTGGTAAGTGGAGATTGAAGGCATTACCCAAAAATCAGTAGAAAACTCATAAGAGTTAATACGTGATCTCACAGTGGCATGTAATTTTTGCCGTACTGTGGAGTTTGTTTCACCAATGCCAATCAGGTTTAGAGTTTTCGCTTCTTTTTTTAGTTGCAGTCATTGTGCAAGTTCCTCGGTTATAAGGTTGACTTGAGAACCGGAATCGAGCAGTGCTCTGGCCAGCTGATACTCTCCAGATTTTCCTTGAATGGTTATGACTGCAGTGGCTAGAATAATTTGATCGTCATTCGATGAGCTATGATTCACAGAGGCACGAGAAATAATAGATTGTTCTGGATTATAAGATAAACCTGTTTGAGGAGTGTTAGTAGAATATTGGTGTAAAAGAGTATGGTGCGACCGATTACACACTCTGCAGCGTGACGCCTTGCATCTAGATACCGTGTGCCCTTTCTTGAGACAATTTATACATGCCGAAGATGATTTAATGAAATTGAACCGTTCAGTAACTGAGAGGGCAGCAAAGGCGGAGCATGAATTTATTACATGTTCCTTCGCATTACAGAACAAACATCTACTTTCCTCTTGCGAACTATTTTTCTTGCACATAAGTGACGATTTTACATTCTTACCTTGCCAGTTGTCTTGTTTTGGCCTGTTCGATCGAGACCTTGACGTAGAAGCTTCGTCAGCAGAAATGTGTTGGTATCGCTTATTTAACGCAGTCTCGCAATCAGACCAGAGCGGCAGCTTATTGTAATCTAATTGCTCCTCCCATTTAGATTTCGTGGCGGCATCGACTCTTGACATGACTAAATGAATAAGAATCGCATTTGAAATGTTCTTATCATCTCCTATTGACAATAGGGACTCATATATGGCAGAAACAGTATCTATGATATTGCGTAATGCAAAAGCAGATGGCTTGTTCATTTCTGGCAGTTCAAAAAGCTGCGAGATACTATCGAAAAAGATTAGACAAGTGTTATCGTAAACTCTTTTTAAACTAGCTAATGCCTTCGAGTAATTAGTTTCAGTGAGTTGAAATGCCTTAACTGTACCAAGAGCTTCGTCAGACAAACACGAAATGAGATGATTGAATTTTTCAATATCACTTAGCGACTGATCATTGTGCACTAAGCTTTCAAAAAGGCTTATGAAGTTTTTGTACTCAGAATGTTTCCCACTAAATTTAGGTAAACGCATACTTGGCAGCCTGGAACGATGATTGCTGCATTCATGCGAAGTATCAGGGATACTAGACTTGCGGTTTTTACCTAACGCCTGTAGAAACAATGATTTCGAAGCAACGCAGATTTCTTCTAGATCTGGCCGAAATACATCAAACTCGTTGATACACTCTATTTTTTGTTGGCAAGTCATGGCCTGTTTAATGTATGAATTGAGAATGTCCAACCTACATTCCAGTTCTACAGGGTTTAAATCAACAGTTTTTTCAGAAATTACTTTTTTAATACGCAAGATACTGGCCACTACAGTTTCTCGCTGCTGGAGTAGTTTATCCAATTCTTCATTTTTTTGTGGGGATGATGCTCGCTTTTTAGTTGACATAGTGAACACAATTTACTAAATTTTTTAAGAGAGAAGGCAATGCAGCGCAAAAAACGATAAGAGTATTTGAATACTGTTGAGCGACGGTTGTAAGTAAATTCCAACAAAGTAAACGCGAGAAATTAGCGAAACGAAAGATGCACTCACTTTGTTTATAGAATAATAAAAAACGATAAATAATCAATATTGTGATTATGGGTAAATTCCAACAAAGTAGTTGCAAGTAACTGGCGAAAACGAAAACGAAAAATGCATTCACTTTGTATATAATTTGCCCCTGCAAATTACTCAATTATTTGTATTAAATAATTGGATTTACCGAACGTATTTGTTAATGAAGCTCAACCTCAGCTTCGTAAATTTGTTTCACGTTTGTCAATAATTTATTATAGAAATAGAAAAATATAGGTGTTTTAAAAGTGCAAATAATTACCAGTGCAAAGTTATTTAAAATACTTTCTTGACTATTTTGTTTAGTCAGAGCATGACCTGGTACAACAATTTCATTATTTGCACTTTCTTACCTGGCAAACGGCAGTGGTGTTACAGTGGCACGCCATCCAAAAAAAAAACGAAAACCAACAGCAGCGGTGAATAGCAGCGACAATCTGCAGCAGCAGCGAACAGCAACAGCGAAATGCAGTAGCAGTCTGCAGTAGCAGCGGCCAACAGCAGCAATAGAATTGATCAGGAAACTGCAGTAGCAGTGACCAACAGCAGCAATAAGAATTGAGCAGGAAAATTTTTGTTGTAAAAATTGGCGAAAACTTTCTCACTTTGCTGGCACGAAAAACAGTTCCGGGAAGTTTACGGGAAAATGCGAATTTAATTATTTTTGCGACAAAAAATTATAATTTCCGAAATAATTTAAATAATTTCACTTCAAAACTTTATTTAGGATTTGGGCACGTTTTAATTTTAGGCTGGAGGATCGCAAAATGAAATTTTGATTGGAGACAAGTGCAGCAGACAAACGGTCTTCGTGAATGCAAGCGAATTTTTTTTTTTTTTATTAACGATTTTTGTCTGGTGCTGATACTTGACACCACACCGACATTTACCGCAATCACTACACACGTGGAAAATGAAAAATTAAACTGATCGAAAATCACGATGCTGCCAATTGCAGCTCTAGAATATATTCACGAAATTTAGTTTAAAAATTTTTTTTTTTTTATTAGCGGTTTTTGTCTGGTGCTGATACTTCACCACACCAACATTCACCGAACAATAATCACTAAATTTCACTTTTCGTAATTTTTTAAATTATTTATTATTTAATTTCAAGTCCCTGCTCGGGCGCCAATGAAAAAATACAAGAGTTTTTGTATTTATTGAAGTTATGAAAAAAATGAAATTTACAACGAAAGTATTTTATTCAGAATAATTACACTTTATTTAAGAAATTAAAATTTTAATAAATCGAAAATTGAAAATAAAACGCGTGCTGTTCACTTGGGACTTGAAATGCAAGAGAGAGAATCAAAAAACCCAGTTCAGTCTGGAAGCTAAAAAACTGTATAAAATTAAAGTTGTTGTTTTTTTAAGATTACCGTATGTAATGTGCAAGGTTGACGAAAGTCAACATTGGGTTGCATATTAACAATAAAAATGAGCAGCACGCGTTTTATTTTAACTACTTTAAACAAAAAATGCAATATAAAATATAAACATTCAACAAATATATTTGAATAAATTGAATAAGTTTTTCATGTAATTTAAATTTATTTTCTTACAATTTGAATTTTCTTTTCTTTTCATAGTTTCTTTAAAAAAATTTATTTTCTCTTCCCGTATCCTTTTCTTAGCAAATAACTTCTTTTCATAATATTCTGGATGCACAGATTTTTTTTTGCGGTTGAATAATAAAGTTGAAAGTTATGGCAATTCCTGCACTGGCGATTCCTGCGTTGACGATCCTTTCGTTGGCGATTCGTGCGTTGGCGATTCATGCGTTGGCGATAGCTCAGCATATGTTTGTACAATGTTTATTTAAAACTCTTTCAACACCTCTATATCTTCAACATCTCTTTCAAACCCTAACGTCGCAGTGTGATTATTTGAAATAATTGGTTTATAACCAAATATTTCGTTCATCAACTCCATCTAGGGTGGTAAGCATGGCGATGCACCAGTCCGCCTGTTGTTATCTTTGGCCGCTTTAAAAATGCGCACACTTAAAAGTGTGCGCATTTTTCCTTCTAAGCAGACTGGAGTAAAGTCATCGTAAAAAATATATTTTATTTTAATTTAATTTTTATTTCAAATGATTACCGAAGTTATCTGATACTTACTGCAATTCCATGTGCTGTCATGCCCTCAAGCACATGTTGAAATCCAAGTCTTTTTTTTTTGTTTCCAAAAACTCTTCTTTTCGTGTCAAGTAGCACTCTACTTTTTGCTTTTTTATTATTTCTTCGTTAGTTTTCAAGATTTTTACACATTGTTTAATCTTTTGCTTTTTTCCTAATTTTCAAATTTTTGACTTTTGTTTGAATTTTTGTTTACATATAATTTTTGACATATGATTGCAATATTCGTTGGAATTTCCAATAAATGTTCACAATAGTTCGCTTATTGCGTTGGTAACACTTTTTTTTTTACTGGCCGATGTGGTTGGCCAGCTTAACTATACTGGCCGAGCAGAGAAAATAGTGTTGTTGTTTTCTGTACGTTTCGGCAAAACTTGCTGTTTTTTGCCGTCATTGCGAGCGACCGAAAAGACCTTCTGAAGATTTTATTAGGTGTATTCGTTTAGTTCTAACAAATTTTATTAAAAAATCAAATTTTTAAAATATTTAAATTTACTCATTATTTGTTGCGAGTGTTCGATAAATAAAAAAAAAACTCCTCTGTCATCTGACTGGAATATTCTAATTGCTTCCAAAATTCTTTCACAATATATCAGTTTTAAGATTTGGCACCATTGTAACGTTAAGCAGTTTGTCAAAAGTGGCTTTTTTGCGAATTTTGTATTTACTTTACATGTTACTTTTTAATTAACACGTGCTTTATTGGTGCATTCATGTCTTCTTTCGCAACTTACGAATATTGTTTTGCTACTTTGAAAGAAAAAATAATGGTGATGTGTAGAAAGTTCTGAAATTTCGTTTTACAACAAAATTAATTATTAACATTAATTATTAATTATTAACGAAGTATTTTAAACGCACTTTCTTTATGTATTCTAAGAGAGACATTGGCATCACTGTTGCAATCTGTCAAGTATCAGGTTTTCGCACACAGCAAATCTTGCATATGTGCACATAATAGGGGTATTCACTCTCTCTTGTAAAGTCATTGCAAGGAGCACGAAATGCAAGAATGCTATACAAAAACTGCAAGACTGCGAGAACACCTCTGTTGCAGAATTGCATCATCAAAATGAATCAGCTGTTTTTGCAGCCGTATCACATTGAGTAAAGAAAAATAAAAGTATAACAATGCCGCGAACAACTGAAATACAAAAATGTATAGATTTTTTTTATTGAAAATAGTGCTTTTAATATTCTGATTAAAGGTATCAACATGTTGTTAATGTAGTTTTCAGTACTGTATAGTTTCTATTTGTTAGATGATGCAAATTACTGGGAAGTGATGGAGCAATTAAATGAAGACCTTTTGTTCACTTTAGTAAACCATCACGGAAATCACCAACCCGTACCAAAATCTATTCAATGGAGAAAATTCTTTATTTTCTGCGGAACAAAGGTTAGCAGGCGATTCTGCTTATCCATTACTTAAAACTCTTATAACTTCGTTTTGGTCAAACTCCCAACAGCTTGACTACTCCAAACGTAAAACTTTTAACTTACGCCATAGCAGATTTCGTGTAAGGATTGAACATTATTTTGGACTTCTGAAGGAACGCTTCGGTAGTCTTAAGGAGTTAAGAATCCGTATTCATAATGATACAAGTCATAATTTTTGTTCAAATTGGTTCCTTGTTTGTTGCATATTGCACAACATTTTGCGACCTTCGTGTGATGATACGGAACACGTGGATTACGTACATGACAACGACGAAGAATCTGATGAGCTTATGCAGAATGAAGCTAGTCAGAGAATCAATAAAGGAGCTTCGAAGCGCAATTTTTGTTTTAATTTAATGTTCAGCAATCAATAATTTACGAATACAAATATATAAAACATACATATATGTATATATATTTAATATATAATTAAGAAGTCAATTGCGACATTACTTTTTTCCAGTAGCTTTATTTCAAGTAAAGAATAATGTATAAAAACGTATATATATATTAAAATATGTAATAATATAATATAAAAATAATTAGTATAATAAAAATATAACTAATTCTTAATTTATTATTGTTATTTGTTATATTTTTTATCGAGGGGGTAGTGGGGTTTTGCACAGCAGAACGCACGACTTTCGGTGCAGAGCTGGATGATGTGTTGTCTGCAGACGATTCAATAAAACAAACTTCGTCGCTTAGCGCAAAGCTAGCTGGTGGCTGTGGCAATGTGTCCGTACATGTCACAAGCGGCTGAAAATTAGACATGCGTCCAAAGACTTCATCCAATAGTCCAAAATGTATATGTATATAATATTATATTTGTGAAAACTTAATTAATGGCCACATCGTTTTAAATCATTGAACGAAACGCATGTATATAGCATAACCATAGTTTAACATATCTCAAAATTTAACTAACCGTCAATTCTAATTTAAAAATGAGAAGCAACAATTGTGAAAACAGCTGATTTCTGCCATTTCTGTTTTGTTGTCAGCTGATAGTCACATACGACTTGTGCTTTTATTGAATACACTCTATTTTTTGAAAAATAGGATGTATGGTTAACCACTGGATCTTCGGCAAGTTTTATTTCAGTACCGTCAATATATCCAATGCAATGTGGAAGCTCATGATAGGTTTTCTCCACTATATCTTGTCGTTCAGCTACATCTGGCCATGTTATAAATTTGGTTTGCAGCTCCAATATGAAACGAAAGACTCTTCGGGTTATCTTATAAATTGTTTCCCCATTTCCAATACCAAATAATGTAGCGACTTTGCGAATAGCCGCATTTTCGCTTGATAAACCCAAACGATATAAAACAATAGCAAGTTGAAGATCGAGAGGGAATTGTTGAATTGAATGTGAATTAGTGAACTCTGCGCTAGTGTTTATCAGTGAGAGCATTAAGGAAAATTTGTTCCAATTTACTCTAAGCATCTGACGAAAACGGCCTTCATCAAATTCTTGAAGAATGGTAGATCTCCATTGAATAGATTTTGGTACGGGTTGGTGATTTCCGTGATGGTTTACTAAAGTAAACAAAAGGTCTTCATTTAATTGCTCCATCACTTCCCAGTAATTTGCATCATCTAACAAATAGAAACTATACAGTACTGAAAACTACATTAACAACATGTTGATACCTTTAATCAGAATATTAAAAGCACTATTTTCAATAAAAAAAATCTATACATTTTTGTATTTCAGTTGTTCGCGGCATTGTTATACTTTTATTTTTCTTTGCTCAATTTGATACGGCTGCAAAAACAGCTGATTCATTTTGATGATACAATTCTGCAACAGAGGTGTTCTCGCAGTCTTGCAGTTTTTGTATAGCATTCTTGCATTTCGTGCTCCTTGCAATGACTTTATAAGAGAGAGTGAATACCCCTATAGGTTTTAGTATTGGAAGATTGCACGCAATTGCACGAAATTTTGTGCGTGTATTTTGTTGTTGTTATTTGCATTCTCGTACAATCTGTGCATTTCGTGTACCTTGCAATGAGTTTGCAAGAGAGAGTGAATACCCCTAATGATTTTTTGTATATGATTTTTTGCAAATGACATTTTGTATAAAAATAAATAGTTAAGCTAAGTACATATTTTTAAAATTTTTATTTTCCACAATTTTTTATATTTTTAAAATATTTCATTTTTACATTTTTCAAATTTGTGAAACTTTTTAATTTTGTATGAACGTTTCTTCACAAACTTGGACAGATGACTGGAATATTCGTTGAAATTTCCAATCAAGAGTTACAGTAGATCGTTTATTGCTTTGGTAGCATTTTTCTTCAGTCGCTAAAATGTTTAGCCACTTCATAACTAGGTGCTTAGAAAGAGAAAGTAGCGTTACTGTTTTGCGTATAAATTAGCATCTTTAAAAGAGCAAATTTTTGTTTTTTGCCACACTTAAACGTTGCCGAATGCACCTATTTTTAAAGTATTTCTTTTTTCACAATTATTCTTTATTTTAAAAATATATTTTTTTATGAAACTTTTTAATTTTGTTT